CTAGTGTCCCAGTCAAACCGCCATGTTTACGGTTCCAGCAGTTATCACGTTGGTGGCTGCTGTTCGATGTGTTCGGGGTCCTCTTAGTCCTACACTTCCCTTTCGGAACATGCCGATTCCCTTCTTTCACTAAGGAACATAAGAAGTTAAATGAATCGGATGTGGTGTTTGAGGTTCGTCTGTCACTGGTATGACGATTACGGGTGCCCACGGTACAATTTCTCCTTCCATGATTCCATTTAGGCTCAGGAGGAGTCTCCTCACTTTGCTCATCTGAGTTAAGGGGAGTAAAGGGGTTCAGCAATGTGGATCTGATCCCTTTTGAAGATTTCTTTGTTTTCTGTCCTCGCTTCCTTGTGGGGACAGGAGGCTTCTCATTTTGCTTATCAGGGCAATGGAGAATACAGGGGTTCAGCAATGTAGATCTGATTCCTGTCAAAGAATTCTTGATGTCCACTCTTTTCCTATATGGAATAAGAGAGGTGAGGCAAGGTCTTGGGTGGTCTATTACTTCATCATTTGATGAGGTACCATTTGGCGCAATAGTACACACCTCTCCATTGAGAGAGTGAGTCCCTGACCTTTCTACCAGAGTGTCAGTATGGGAGTTGTCAGTTCCCTCAACTACCTGGATGTTGTTCTCACCGTTCCCTGTGTCTAACTGCAGTTCTCTCTTCTTTGTCTGCCTAAGTAGTCGATAGTTATGCAGCTTTTCTTGAAGAAGCTTCATTCTTTTGACAGCTGCATCCTCTTGGAGTTGTCTAGCATCTTCTTCTTCTTCAAGTTGCCGTATTCTCTCTTCTTCTTCCCTCTCCGCTGCATGACGAGCAAGCATTGAGTCCCATTCTTCCTGTTCGCGTTGTATGAACGTTGTTAACTCTTGTCCTCTATAGCCCCTTTGTGCACCAAAAATCCTTGCATTTTCTAAGAACCTGGACCGGCGGTCCATAATGTCTAGATTGTTCATTTACAAAGCAAGAGAAACTGATCACATGCAGGACTAACCAGAAGAGTATTTATAGTTGAAGGGTTGGGTGATAGAATAGAAAAAAAGGAAAACTGACCACAGCAGTAAGGAGAACGTTACTGAAAATAATGCAAGTAATCAAACATTACTGCACAGCAATCAATGACACATTAAATAAACTTAACAGTAATGTCAAATGATAGAATGTCAACATAAAAATGATTTACAATCAATATCAAATGCTAAAGCAGTCAAGATTGGGGGAAAAAAAAATCTCAGACTACTTCCTAATTGTGATATTACACTAATTAAGGTAAGTATAAACAGTTCATATTTTTTACTATCATTTACTTAACAGTTAATACTGCCACTCTTCAAACCCTAATTATGTAAGTCACTATTATAAAAAATGGTGCCTGTAATCTAGGGAATGTAAAAGTTTTTTAAGTATTTAAAAAAATTTATGAAATAAAATTTCAATTGTCTAGGGTTTCCCGGGTTTTAAATAACAGGCGCCGACACACTTGTGTGGCCTCAGATTATTATTCCGGAGAGCGCCTCACTTGTCGTGGAACAGGTTCCTTTTACACTCACTAAAGTGGTGTTATCTTGTTAGGAACCGAGACAACTGTCTTTTGGTGCAAAGAGCAGACAGTGTCCCTGGATACTCAGATACAGACTCGAATTGGCTCGCGAAAGAAGGTGAGCTGCCTGAATATCCCCAGAAAAGGGATAAGGGAATTTAGATGCCTAACCACTTAGACAGAGCAGATTACCCCTCCCGACAATTTCCCTTTCTGGTAATAAAATTAAGCCCCCATCTAGACTATGTATATTGGTAGACAGCACTGACACCATACATACATCTAGAAATAGAAATAAACTTTAACTATGAGTTTAAATCAATCATAGGAATGTTTATTAAAATTAAAGTAAAATTCAATCATCTATTTACTTTTGAAAATACATTATTCAAACTAAGTAGGATGAAAGATAAAAATGATAGTAACATGAAACTGTCGTCATGAGAGGATCAGTGGGAAATAACATACAACAATTACCACCTGGAGTTTCCCAGAGGATCATCCATTTCAAAGACTGAGGTGGAATGTCGGATCTGTCCCAAGCACCAAGATCTTCCTTAGGGCACTCCAATCATTAGCTACAACCAGCCTGGCAGTGGTTTGGAAGCTCGTCCTGCCACAAGGAATCTGTCCTCGGCTTTTCAGCAGCTAGGGATGGAAACAATCAAAAAATATATAGTCCCTGCTGTTTTGCAAAATAAAATATATTTCCAACTTTCCCCTCTCTCTTCATATTGTCAGAAGTGGGATAATAGTCTAGTAGCATTGTCATTTACATAGCTTCCACTTCTGACTACTGTCCAGTCCAGATGAATGTCTTCCATCTTCTGTCCTTCAGGATGATAGTGTAATGCTCCTCATTTTTTCACAGACTCAGACAGCAATATGCAGTTATAAATGCAACACAAAATCAGACAGAATGTTATAGAATTCTCTCTATAAATATTGAGAATTCTAGATAAAAGGTCTGGCCTTTCCTTCTTCCAGATATTCCACTGTGCGGTTATTTTCTGGTTGAATCCTTCTTTTGTGAGGCTAAGAAAAACAGTTTCCCAGTGGGTAGTTTTCTCGGACAGCATGTCCTCAAAATCACAGCATTTAATACTGCTGTGTATAAGTAAAATAATACATTAATAACATCATGAATAATACATCAATAACCTGAAAACAAAAATTCAGCACTTCTACAACAAGCAAACATTATGAATTATAGAAGTATGAGCATGAGAAGAACAATGTCTCCTATGAAATGTTACCATTGAAATGTTACCATTGAAATGTTACCAGTATCTACACAAACTCTGATAATCAGCCATAGATCATTCATCTACCAGCAATAGAAGATAGATAATTTCCTAAGAGTCTTAGAAACAGCAAACAGAAGTAACCTCCTAGATACCGAACAATAGGAATCAGGAATAGATCATAAAGAAATGGTTTCCTGTCCATGTGCAGAAATGGGTCAGCGTGGTTTTTCCTCTGTCTGGTACAATTCTAATATTGTACACGAAATGCGGCCCGAAAACTGAAATCACGATTTAATTAACAGTTACTGTGCTCACCTGGATTTAGATGTAACTATATGGTCATGTTGCTAGGGTTTTTAGGCGGCGAGAAAGACAAAGTTCTGCCAAAACGGCCCGCTCTAACACCTGCTTGCTGACCTGAAGGTAAAATGGCTGGCAATCTTGTCTCACTGCGGGATTTCCGGTGTTGGCCAGGGTTTTCCCGCTACGTTGCCGAGTTACTAGCCGTATATTTTTATACGTGAAAGCTCAGGGGAATTACAAGTAGGACAATGGAAAATCCCCAAACAGCAACCGTAGGCTATAACCGGGAAATCTCTCAATGCGTCTTATGACGAAAATGAAGTCACTGGGCGCATGTAAGAGAGAAAAATAGAAGGGTCACAAAGGGGTGGTACGTCAGCCAAGAGTATCTTGTCTACTTATATATATATATATATATATATATATATATATATATATATATAACACAATTTAGATCATCACTGTGTGATATTATAACTTTTAGAGGTGACCATATATTTATTGACCATTTTCTGCTTGTAAGTAAAATAAAGTTGCAACGTAAAAGATATATAACATCTTATAGTCACAGAAACCAGTATATTGTAGGTTATCTCAGGCATTAAAAAATGCTGAGAAAACAATCTTCATTTGCAGTATCTAATAAGTACCAAGTGTTGTAGCAGTTAGTTAAAGAAGTAAATACTGAAGCTTGCTGGGATCAGATCAAGGGAATTTGGAATGAGTCTTGTGTAAGAAGTCCTTGGTAAGACAGAACGGACAAAAAAGGTGTGGATAACGCCAGAAACCATTAAAATGATCGAAGAAAGAAAAAAAGTAAAAAAGGCAGACTTAAACAATAGTAAAACTAGAACTGCTAAAGCTAGAGCTCAGGATAAATACACAAAACTAATAAGGAAGTTAGGAGACGGATAAGGGTAGCTCAAAGGAAATACGTAGATGACCCAGCACAAGAAGCGAAGACAGCAGCAGCAAAATTAAACATTAGATACCTTTACAGTAACACAAGGAAATTGGTAGGTAAATAATGTCAGCCAACTGGATCAATCAAAAATAGTCAAGGAAAGGTACTCGCCAACACCACAGATCAAATGGACAGATAGGTTGCTCATATTGAAATACTTCTAAATAGACCAGCCCCAGTTCCTCCAGATATGCAGCCTCTAGAAATGGAACTGAATATTAACTGAAAGATCCCATCCAAAGAGGAAATTTGGAAAGCTATCATTCTACTGAAGGAAGGAAAGGCAGCAGGTCCAGATGATATCCCAGCAGATGTTAATAAGGCCGATATAAACACATCTACGGAATTGCTAAATGGATTATTTAGTAAAGTATGGGAGACCGAAGAAATATCAGCAGACTGAAGAGAAGGAGATCTTGTGAAACTGCCCAAAAAGGTGATCTCGTGAGTGTGAAAACTATAGAGGAATTAAGTTGCTGTCAGTTCCTACACAAAATATTGAGTAGGATATTTTGGAAAGACCAAAAGATTCTAATGATAAAAAGCTAAGAGATGAGCAGGCAGGTTTTCGAACAAACAGATCCTGTAGTGACCGATAGCCACATTAAGTATAAATAATAGAACAAAACACTGAATTCGATTCACCACTACACTGCATTCATAGACTATGAAAAAGCTTTTGAAAGCATTGATATAGAATTTCTCTGGAAATTAACTTGGCACTAGGGAATCCCAAAGAAAATTATTTACTTAGAAGAAGAAGAAGAAGGCAAAGAAG